CCAAGGTACCAGCAAGAGGTCATAGTAGGACAGCAGGGAGAGATTTTTTTGGAAGCAGCGGACGGAAGGATACGTAAACAATGTTTCTGCTCTCCCCTCTCGGATTCCTCTTTTCTCACCAGCATTATTCCGCCATGGGCAGAGGTAGTCAGTTCTTGTTTCGCGATTGCGGCTCGTCAATCACTTCGCCTCTTATGGACTCCTCATTGACGAAGGGACCTCGCTTGGCCTTGGTCGGATCGAGTCTGGCCCACATCCCACGGAGCTCCCGTCGGCTCCAGATGGCGCCCAATTCTGAATCCAGTAGCTAACATCGCACTACCAGACTGGGCTTGATCAACAAAGATCCATCCTACCCGAGCTAGCTTACCCCCAACTGGATGGCTGGCTTGCTGGCTTGCTGGCCAAGCTGGCCTACGCCTCAAACACCAAACACCAAACACCAGGCTCTAGAACGGCGAGTCCCCTGAGACCGCCCTGCATTTGTCAACGCCCGTCCGTTCTTGTCGCTCTGTAACGCCTGGGCCGCACGGCCACAGGACCACACTGACGATCCTCCGTGCGTGTCTCGGATGCTCCGCTCCTACAGGTTACTCCCAGCCAAAACATTCTCCAATTCACCATTTTGTACAAGAACCGCAGCTGGAGAAGCAATCTTAACGATGACGGAACGGGGAGCGAGAGTGGGAGGGGAAAAAAAGTCAGTTGCTCAATTGGTATCACTGAAACTCCAAACCATGCTGGAAGGTCATGACGCAGTAGCGCCTACTTGACATACCGCCTCACAACCTCTTCTCCTGGACTGAAGTGCATCCAAACTTCGTCTCCACGGTCCCAGTCCACTAGGCCCTCAGGCTTTTCGTCGCTTCTCTCACGCCACAGTGACCACCTCTTCTGCCGGAACCAGCCACGCGCCCGCCACGACACTTCATTGTCAACCTTAAGCCGCACTGCAATCCATTCGTCTGACGGACGATGCTCTTGTCCCATTGCAGCCTCGGGGTCCGCCGGCGCTTGCATTGTCTTGAGGATCTGTTCGTCCACCCACATGTCATTGGCCGACTGCTCCCTAGGCAGCGTCATCTTCAGAAACTCGAGCGACGGCGCCACCGTCAAATGTATTGCCCGCGGCGGGTTGACCACTGTCTTCGCCAGCAGGTCCATCCACGTCGAATAGAGCACAGCAAAGTCTGTCTGAGACAGGTGAGTCGAGCCTCGGATCGTGAGCATTCACGTCAACGTCGCCGGGTTCTCCTCGCGCGCCTCGTGGCAGAGGTCCACCAGCCGCTCAAAGTTTTCCTGCCGGCGGTGCATGAAGGCCTCTGATCCGATAGACAGAAGCGGCTTGCTGATCCGGCCCTTCCCCGCCGCCGGTGTTGCTGGAACCCCCGCATCAAGAATGATCCCCTGTCCAATCCACGTTAAAGAGGATTTCCGGAGACACTGTACTGTTGTCGCACCGCCAAAAGAGTGGCGCATGGCAGTCACGTTGTTTGTAAACATGCGTACTGTCCAGTCGTCCCATCGGATTCCACTCAGGCCTTGTAAGCTTGACGCGACGCTGCCCTGGCGGCGCAGATTAGTTGCGGACACCTCACTGCCCTTTCCGTCATTGATGAGGCTCATAACGTGAAAAGCTTCCTCCATCTCGGCTATCCTCATATAGATCTGTGCCGTTCTCAGCTCCGTGTCGACACCGCGAACGTTATGAGGTGACGTATCCTGCGCATTGTCTTAGGGGAAGAAAAAGTCGACACAGTAGTGCTGCGGCGACTACAGTTTAGTGCTCTTGCTTTTCTGCAACTCTCCACTCATGTCAGATACATTGAGGTTTGCCTCTGAATTGGTTTCAGACATTTCTTGCTCTCCCGGCAGGTTGGCATATGTCCTGGCGCCACTGCCGTCCCGATGTTCCACAGCAATCACCATGAACCCGTAGCTCGCCAGTTCACCACAGATGAAACTGTAGATAGTTCTCGACCCATACAGCCCGTGGCTGAAGATGATAATCGTGAATCTCGGCCTCTGTCATCTGCCAGGCGAGACCCCGTCAGTAGCCATCGTATTCCGTGGCCACTGCGTCGCGAGCCTGGCATTTCGAAAAGCGGGAAGTTTGGTGAACATGCTGGTTATGGCCAGATAACCTGTTTACCAGTGCGTGGGGGCTGTTCATGAACTTGGCGTAACCCTTTGCTGTCTGGATTCGGGGCCTGTATAATAGGGAAGGGCGTGTAGAACGCTCACGGGAACTCTTGGGCGGACGAATAGCGGTGCCCACGCTCACATTCACGATCCGCGCTCAGAAGACCTGCAAGATGCCAGTGTCGCAAAGCTATGTATCAACAACGTCACGCTGTCTCGAACCCTAAGGACGGATTGATGCTCATGGCTGTTCCGATGTCTATGATATCCTGTTGCTCATCAACATGAGTACGTGGTAGGTGAATGCCTGGGACTTAGCAGCTGTGTGATGAATGCATTCGTAAGCTGCTTCATCCCTGATCGATTCCAAGCACATCTGTTATCGCCCCGTTCAGCATGAACGCAGCACAGTACATTCCCTCCTCGAGAAAGTATTTCAGGCTAGTACGTTTGATCGAACGGGTCTAAGGTTGAACTACAAATATAGTGGTCTCACAGATATGGAGACAATGGCAAAAAACACCCCCCCCAAACTTTGTCGCTCCCTTGAAGCACTTTCTGTCCAGGCGGTATCCATTCATAGCCGAACTCCGGAGGCAGACTGCTCGTGAGCCCGTCTCTCAACTAAAGTATTCTGTTATGCAATCGCAGCCCTGCAGGAACTGGCTGCCGCTATTCTGCGTTTCGTTTGCTGTCTGGTCTCGCGCCGTGGGATGCTAGGTGGCCGTTTACGTTTGCCAGCGCGGCGCTGTTCAAGCTGGCTGCGCCCCTGGGGCTCTTCAGTCTCGTTACCGCCGTCGCCCTCCCCTCCCTTGTCCTCGCCGCCAGCCATGTCATCTGCCATTTTCTTGGCAGCTTCTTTCTCTTTCTTGACGCCCGGAACCTTCTGCAACACCTTGATCAACTCACCAAAGACCGAACCCGCAGGTGCCCTTCGCTTCACAGCCTTTGCGACGCTCAGCGCGTCCCGCAATGTCTGAAGCTCCTTCTGCGTTAATGGACTCGAGCCACCCGCTTCGCTTTGGCGCGTGAGGCTCTCTCATTGAAAATCTGGCTGCTGA